AGGGAGAGAGAGAGAGAGAGAGAGAAGGAGAGAGAGTGAAAGGAAGAGATAGAGGAGGCCAGAAAGCACTACAGAGGGAAGGTGGTGAGAGTGACAGGGAGGGTGTCGTCGAAAGCGCCAAGAGTAGCCTACCGTAGGCCTACTTAATGTATACAAGGGTCAAAGTCAAAAGTTAGTGACGTCAGTGGCCTAGTGGTTAGGCTCTCGAACTCGCAACCGTAAGGTTGTGGGTTCGAATCCCTTCAGGGGCCTGACGTTGTGTTCTTGGGAAAGGCACTTTGCACTTATTATTATTTTGTGTTCAGTGCGTTCGTGTGTAGATCTATGTCTAGATCTAATGTCTAATCTAGATCAAGAAAAAAAGTCATGAAAGTATTGAAAGTAGATTTCTCCTGCAGTGGATTTAGCGCGCACGCCGAAGGATGAGAGTATTTTGTGAACAGTGTCTAGATGAGATCTAGAACCTAGATCTAGAATCGAGATCTAAATCGAGATCAACAAGAATCTTGAAATGAGAGTAGAATCTAGATCTGTGATATTTCGATAACCTATTGAATATTGAAAGTGGATTTTTCTTGCTGCGCATTATAGATTCTAAGATCTAGATCTAGACTAGATCTAGATCTATATGTGAATCTTAAATCGAGATCAAGGATGATGAAAGTATTGGACGTGGATTTTTTCCTGCTGTGAATAGATCTAGAGTCTAGAACTAGGCTGTCGGTGAATCTAGATCGAGATCAAGAATCATGAAAGTATTCTTGAAAGTAGATTTTTTTCTGCCGTGAACAGATCTAGAAATCTAGGCAATCTGTGACGCCTATCTGTTGTTAAAAATGTGAATTTCCAAACTTAGATCTATCTGTGGGACTAGGATCCTTCTTTCAATTATTGTCCTATGTCTTTATAATCCTTCGAGATCTAGGCTAGATCTAGAATCTAGATTAGGTTCTTCTGAGAAGCAACAATCGGCATGTAGGCCAAACTCTTTTTTTAAAAAGTGATTGAGCTGGAACTTTAGGAGGAAATGCCACGGCTTTGAAAAGGGGGAAGAAGTCTTACCCCTAGAGGTAGTCAAGACGGGAAGCTACATGGATAAATTCAAGGTAAAATATTTATGTTTTGTTTCTTTCCTG